AATAAAATAATATAAATATGTAACATGAACCCAGTGCCCATCGTTAAATAAAACACATGATAAGAAGCAGACCTTCTAGGATGACTGGTTTGGAAATATATGGATATAATTTAATTCTTAAACACTTGAAACAATCTTGATATTAAGCTGCGATAACCAGATTTTTGCATCTATGCTAGATAAAGAAATGCGTAACATTCTGTACTAGAGTTACATCGATGAAAGTGAAGGTTACAGTCTTACAATGAATTGCCTAGATAGGAATGCACGAAGCAGTTCTGAAATATTGTCTCATGATGGAGCTCAGTTCACCTTAGAAACTGTTCCAACTGGGTTTTATTAAGCCCAGCCATTTACACAGCGACATTTGGAAACTGCTTTCTCACCTCTACAATCAGCTAGGGACAGACATGAGATTTCTGGCATGTCAAAGAATCCGTTAAGACATTGTGAAAGTCCTTTGACCAAAAAAAAAAAAAAAAAAACCAAACCAAAAACCAAAACGTGGTTTACAGTGGAATTACTTTGTAAACTATTTCTCATGAAGAAATAAATATTGGAAACAAAATTCCACTCTCTGTAACACCATATCTGTGGTAGCACGTGCAAGTGTATGTGTGCACATATTGGGTTTTGGGACGTCTGTGGAGACGTATGAAAATATTTACACACATACAAAGGATTATTGTTTTTCGGCACATTTGTGGATATTATACTTAAATTAATAAAGTCAATCAAATCACCAGTACTTGTTGCAGGATAACAGTCTCTGAAAAATGACAGGATTCAAAACAAATGCCCGTTGAAAGTGTAGCTTCCAAATAGTCCCAGAAACTATACAATGTAGCTGGTTAGATCCAGCAAGTAGGATGTCATGTCTAGGATCTGATCAAGAATACCTGCCCTTGTCACTCTTCGGATGTTTCTATCCACTTGTTCACACTGGGGGCCGAGATAGCCTTTTTTACATAAGCATTTATTAGGCCTCACACAGACACCTCCATGTCGACAGGCTGGGTCACATTTTGCTGTGGGTGAAAAAACAGTGGTTGTCTGATTTGTTTAGAACATTACAAACTGAAAAGATACAGTTCACGTTCATTAAGAGCTTTTCTAACCGCATCGTGCTAAAGCATGTAAATAAAAAACAGCATTGAAAGGGTGAAATATGAGAAGTTTTGAAACCATATTTTAAAAAAGTTCTAGAATAGTAGAGGGAGGAAGGGATTTTGTATGTCTGAGAGGATGTCATCCAGGAAAACCTGAGAAACTCAAGTAAGGGATATAGCAAAATGTCCAATTCCCATACTCAGGCTTGATTATGGAGTGCATAGAGGACACATTTCAAAACACTTTGGGCTCCACACGTCTTATAATTTGAAAACAAGATATACAGCACATCTAGATCTAGACTCTGGTGGTTTACCTCATCCCATTTCTTATGCTGGGATCCCAAAGATGTCCTGAGGATGGTGAGTCATTTTAGCACCTGACTAGATCCCAGGTACACTAAATCCTTTGTACACGCAGAGCTCTGCACTACATGCTTTCCTTAGCAGAGCAGACTACAGCTGACAAGAGGTCATAGAATCATAGAAATTTAGGGGTTGGAATGGACCTTACAGATCATCTAGTCCCAACTCCCTGCCCTGGGCAGGGACACCTCCCACCAGAGCAGGTTGCTCAAGGCTCATCCAACCTGGCTGTGAACACTGCCAGGGTTGGGGCAACCACAGCCTCCCTGGGCAACCTGGGACAGTGTCTCACCACCCTAATATCTAACCTAAATTTCCCTCTTTCAATTTGTACCCATTGCCCCTTGTCCTGTCCCTGCAGCTCCTAACACAGATCCCTCAGCAACTTCCCTGGAGCCCCTTCAGCTCCTGGAAGGTGCTCTGAGGTCTCCACATGAAGATTCTTGACTTTGGCTCTTGAATCACTTATTCTGGGACCAAACTGGAATTTGATTTAGAGAACTAAGACCATTTTTTTCCAAAGTTTTTATCAGTTAGTTAAGTTTTAAAGTTTTTCCCTCTCTTTAGCAGATAACTGATGATTTGCCTAAAGAGTTCTAGGTTCATCAGCTGTTTCATGTTATCCATTACAATAAACTCTAATATTGATTTACAGATAATACACTATATAAATACAGCTTTCCTGATTTTATACATGAGTTTCTTAATTACACCAGAAGGAAACTGATACCTTGTAAGGTAATTTTTCTTATTTAAATTATAATAGTAGCTTGAGGTCCAACTCAGAACATCTCTGTTAAACGTTGTGGGGGATACAGGAAAGAAAGATCCTTATTCCACATATTTTCTGTAGCTTTTTTGTTCATTGTGTCTATCCAATTAGGTATCATAAAGATGTGGATTTTTTAAAACAAAGCAGATTATTCAAGACCCATTTATGTTCACACTGGAACGATGTTTTACTTCAAGTAAATGTAATGTCCACTTGGACAAAGGCTGTAGAATGGGCCTCATTCTCTAAATGTAGGAAAGCTCTGACTGACAAGTGAGGACAATTGAAGTTGGGCTTTTTGGCTAGATTACCTCATCCATTTCTCCAACCTGCTGTTCTTGCAGGGTTGTATGGCAGTCAGCTCATGAGTCTTGCCCTTAAGATACATCATTAATGATTTCATTCATTTTAATTCATTCCAAAGTCACTCCTGCTCATCACTAAAAACCCTAGACCCTGCTAAAATTCACACTCTAGGCTCTAAGGACCTCGGAGGTGACACTGCATCAGCAGGAGCTTCCTGAGTGCCTTTCCAACCTGAAATAGCCCTAGTCCATTGTGGAATCCTTGCTTTGTCTTAATCCCTGACTCTCTTTGGAGTCCTACTGCCATTATGTTAACCTTATCTCTTTGTGGTCAACCAAATCTGCTCAGTCAGAGGACTATGCTGACGCACTAGTATCATCTCCTAGTACCCAGGTTGGCTCTGACAACATACAGACATAGCCACAGCCTCTGTGAGACAGCAATAGCACAGCTGTGGCACTCCAGGTTCACTCACCTCACTCCTTTGCTGTCACAGCCAACCCTACTTTGATCACAAGTCACTTTTTCAAATGACTTCTAAAAGATAAACTAAATCCACAAGAAAGGACTTAATGAGATCACTGCAATAATGGATCCCAATAATGTTCTGATAATTAGCTGTTTGTAAGAAGTTGTACATAAATTTCTCTTTAACAAACTGCAGTCATTTTACTTTGTAAGAATGTACCAAAACTAAAGTATTTGCACTAAATTAGCAAAGTGCAAAATATGTACTAGTGACCTGCTGTTCTGATTTATTTCTGGACAAGGTGTCCCTCCTTGACACTGACAGTGATACTACTGCAGGTGGAAGGTGAATGTCCAGACACAGAACATCTATTGACTGCATTTCCTTTCCTTTTACAACCTTGGTGGGGAAAAAATAATACTATTGTCTGTTATATTTATGCTATTAATTGCATTCTGTACTGGTTCTCATTGCATTAGGTGATTTAGTGGTTGCACTCATCTGAAGATCTACTGTTCTCCCACAACTCCCAAGATCAGGATTTCTTTAATGTTGTCGTAGAACTGATGGTCAATATATTGGTCTACATATATAGAAAATTTCTCTCACCCAAGAATTAAAAGCAAATTATGGCACATCACTGCTTTTTTCACTACTTGCTATGAATCTAGATACAAACCAGTTCTGCAGAACTCTCCTTCCCAGCCTTGATTACAGCAGCATTTTCCTGTGGGAGTGCAGTGCCCGTTCCGACAATGCCTTGAGCATTCAGATGTCAGTATCTGTGCAGGCTGGGCTGTTCTTTTGCATTCTTCGGGGGCTAAAGGCCTGAATAAAAACACATAAACCAAGCAAACAGTTAAAAGTTGGGATCAAGGAGGTAAAAATTGGCTTTTTCCATTAAAGGGCTGATTCTCTGTTATGGTGTTACCAGTGGGAGGAGTTGTGTTCTAAGGGGATTGCTCTTTAATCAGAAAAAACAACAAGCATAGAGATGTTACGTTACATTACAGAAAAATACAGGGGGATTTGCCATTATTTCATATGACTGCATTAGAGGTCTTCTACAAGATTAAATAATAGTCCTTGAGAATTCTTGAAGTGTGGACCTGGCAAAAGCAGCTTGCTGAAGAGCTTATCTCAGGCAGCATCTTATGGTGTCTTTTTGCATTTCTAGGTGATTTAGATTCCTCATTGTATGCTCGGAAGAGTCATCTGAACAAGTTTTATGTCACACATTATGACATGTAGGATAATTTTGCGAAGGTATTACCTCTGTCTACAAATTTGGTTTTGCACTGATGGCTTTTGATTTCTATAGTTTAATTGAATCATATTTGGGTTATGCATTCTGGATGACTGTTTATGCATTTGAACATCAGGAAAAACCTTTTCATTATGAAAGTGACCCAGTACTGGCACTGGTTGCCCAGAGAGGATGTGGAGTCTCCATCACTGGAGACACTCAGAAGTTGTCAGGACAGGATCCTGGGAATCTGGCTGGAGGTGGCCCCTGCAGGGGGGTTGGACCAGGTGCCCTCCCAAGGTCCTTTCCAACCTCAGCCGTTCTATGAATGCACACACAAAGGAAATTCTAGTTCAGTTGACTTAAATATTGTTGATACTGGGGGGGGTGTTTGTTGGGCTTCTTGGTGTCAAGTCTTATGTAATGTCAATCTCTCCAAAGCACTTTGGATAACCAGTAGCCTTTTTTATTTACAAAAGCACAGCCATCTCTTCCTTTACAAGGGAGGAATTGTTCCTTCTGCAGTGTTAAATGTGTAAAACTCTTAGATGTTTTAACTTAAGCATGTCCCAGCTGTTGATACGACTTCCTGTGCTTTTTGAGATGTTTATTCGTTGTCTTTAGCTCTATGTCATCATACTGATCACTTATTTTATTTGCTATGTGAATTCAGCACATAGAGACTGACAGGATCATCACAAGACTACAGATTCCCAGTAGAGGTACCACGTTTTGTCTCTGCTGTAGGTTTGATTGCACAGGAATAGGTTTAGAAAAGAATGTCAGGATCTCCCAAGTGATCTAATCAAGTAATTGAATAGGAGCATCATGACAAATTAAGTTAATTAGTGACAAATACAAAATTACTCATTCTCTAGGAAATAATCTGAACTACTGCCATACATTCCTAAGCTTCAAATGTGCAGGACAAAGATTCTAATAGTTTTGTGGAAAGCTTGGAGAAACTTTGGCTAGGTGTCCAGCTAGAATCCAAACAAACCAAAACTGTATGAGATAGAATAGAAAATAACATTAATCTTTATCATAGAATCACAGAATCATCTGGGTTGGAAAAGACCTCCAAGATCATCAAGTCCAACCCTACCATGGTTACTAGCCCATGGCACTAAGTGCCACATCCAGTCTCAGCTTGAAAACCTCCAGGGATGGTGAATCCACCACCTCCCTGGGCAGCACATTCCAATGCCTGAGCACTCTCTCTGTAAAAAATCTCTTCCTAATCTCCAACCTAACCCTCCCCTGGCAGAGCTTGAGTCTGTGCCCTCTTGTCCTGCTGCTGGTTGCCTGGGAGAAGAGACGACATTATACTGGCACCAGTACTACATCCCCAGTTATATGCAAATAGCTGGAATAGCAACTTGTGCACTACTTACCCTGTCAGATATTAAAATCCTAGACTGATACTCCTGTGTGGAGAAAAGGATAGGTTTTTTGGAGTCTGAGGAAGAAGGGTTATGATAAAAATGCACAAAACTGTGTTAGGAAAAACATAGGAGGAAAATTGTGCATTCTTATTTATTTCCCATTTCAACATCAGAAGAAATATCAAGGGAGAAAATTAAGCTAAAGAAAATCATAGAATCATAGAATTTAAAGAATTTAAAATTGGAATGGACCTTACAGATCACCCAGTCCTACTCCCCTGCCCTGGGCAGGGACACCTCCTCACTAGATCAGATTGCTCAAAGCTCATCCAGCCTGGCCTTGAACACTGCCAGGGTTGGGGCAGCCACAGCCTCCCTGGGCAACCTGGGCCAGTGTCTCACCACCCTTAGAGTAAAAAACTCTTTTTCTCACATCCAACCTAGATTTTCTCTCCTTCAGTTTGAACCTATTACTCCTTGTCCTATCGTTGTAGTTCCTAACACAGAGTCCCTCTCCAGCTCCTTGTAGCCCCTTCATATATTGAAAAGTTGCTCTGAGGTCTCCACACAACCTTTTCTTCTCCAGGCTGAACAGCCCCAACTCCCTCAGCCTGTCTGCATAGGGGAGATGCTAGTTAATAAAATGAGCTAGCTGAACTCATGGCTTCTAAGATCTCAATGAAGCCCATGTTCTAGCAGGATTTTAAAAAGGTGTTTCTATGCACAATGAGGCCATTCAAAGTAATATTAGATAGGGCAAAAATAATTTTAAAGAATAATAAGCATTCACTCCTAATGTCACAGAAGTCCCTCCCTAACTGGCTGGGCTTACATTGCCCCCTCCCATTTTGGCATGCAGCTCGTTAATGGGACCTTCCAGGGTTTCTTGCATTTTTCTTTGAAACAGAGTAATAGAGTTCAGGCTCACTGGTTTGTTTCACTGTAGCACTTTCCCTGCTCGATCTTAATTACAACCATGGTTATTTAAACATCCATACAGAAGAGCTGGTTCTCCAAAGATGTCAGGGACAGAAAGAATGTGTAGACGCATCTTCAGTGTAGCACCAAGTTCTGATTTCCTGAGCATTTCTGAGAATCCGACTGAAGGTCCTGTGTTATTTAAGGGCTTTGAAACGTGTTTCGACACCTTTGGTGTGGCAGATTTGAAACCCTTTCAGTTTGAGTGTTTACATGTTTCCACAGCTGTCTTTTAAGCATAATGCATTTTTTTTTGACCTGTAAGGAATTCCAGTTCTGTAGTAATGAGTGTATTACATATGATCTCTTTCAGAAAGTTCCTACACTTAATAAAATAAATGCTATTTTTGAAATGGTTCTCCAAAATGATATGATTTTCAGCAGAGACTTGTTCAGATTTAGAGTAAAAAGATCTGTCTTCTAATTCCTACCTCTGGAAAAAGAATCTGCATTTCAGATGATTTCTTTATAGCCAGCTGCATAGGAGGCAACATTCTTTCTTCACCTGTCACTCTTAAAGCCCATTTATTTCAAGTTACTTTAAATGGGAGTCTCCTCTTTTTTCTCTCTTAAACACTACTACAGTGCTGTGTTCAGTAGAAAGCACAAACTCAGGCTCCTGGAGCATCTCTTGGAAAAGAGCTCCAGCAGCATATCTTTAGCAAAGAATGACCTTGTCAGTCACAAAGATATTTTATTTGTGAAGATATTTATTTTACCAATAGATACAAAGTATTTATCTATGATAATGCTGGGGTATACGGTCCTTTTGTTCCACGTACTTAAGAAGGCAGAAATCACACTTTTTTGTATCCAGCCAAGAAACCTGGTCACTTTTATGATTTAAAGTTTTCTCCTGCTCTTGGTACTTGTGAATATAACTTTGCCTTTTATTCTCCCATCAATCAAAGACTTGCACTCATCAGCCTCTGATAATATTTATTAATGGTGGGGTGGAGTAGAAACAAAGATGGAAAAAATTCTAGTTGGCAGAGTGCCTTAAGAGGAGAGGAATACAAATGCAGCTGCAGCAGGATCCTTCTTGTGTGTGACAATTGCTGGTTTTCCTTAGCTGTGCCATGGGAAAAGCCACACTCCTTTCTCAGGGTTCGAATGCCGTTACGGGACGAGCACGTATCGAGAGAACGTCTCTGCCCCACAGTACAAACACTTTGCATTCTTAAGGCTGGAAAGGGGTGGAAATTTTCAGGCCCAGCACGAGCTGAACTGAATCTCACAGAGATAACATAAGTCTTGAAACTGACTGTTGGGACATGATCTTTCCCGCACTTAGACAAGCCTATGATTTTGTTTATATAACTAGTGCTTCGCTGTGTCTCTTGACATGCAAAATGGAGGGGAATAGATGGAGCCACACTCTGGGCTGGAGAGAAATTTTTTTTCCCCTTGTATCCCTCAATCTATAAAACTGTAAAGGGTACAGCTTGATTACTCTTACAGTAAGCACTATTTGGCCCACAGAAAGTCAGCCAAAAATGTAGCTGATAATGACTATTTATATGGTCTGTACAATTCTAGTTATCTTAAAGAGCTGTTCATATATACAGTACAGTACAGTATATCTTGCTTGTTAAAACAGGCTTTCATGAAACTGTATAACAACTCTAAATGTATGGAACATGGAGGAAAAGTTGTCCTGGTGGCTGGGGCCCATGCTGGATCCCTTCGCTGACATGTGCAGTGAGCTGGGAATTCTTGACTGTACAATGTGCAACATCATTTTTTGCTGCCTTACCACAGCTAGTGCAAAAACGTAGCCTCTACTGTTAGTTTAGAGGCATAGGAAAGCCTAACATGCTTTAATAGATTAAAACACATCCTGGTGCTGCTCAGCATTTCATGCTTTCGTTAGTGCATCTCTTCACAGTTCCACGGAGTGATTTAGTTGCTGTCAGTGCTAGCTGCAACTCAGGTGGACATAAAGCGATGCAAAATGAGGACCAAATTCAGCAGTAAAACAATGGTGCTGAACAGAAAACAGTTCCTCCCCTGTGCTTTTGACACAATATCAAAAATCTCTACTTGCCCACTAAAGCGAGAAAAAACCCCAACAAAGACAAAATTCCTGGATGTTCAGATTCAAACAAGAGACACTGGTGTAGAAATCATGATCGTGGTACAAAATATATGAAATGTTATGCTTGAACTACCTGCACATAAGATATTAGGTATTAGAATGATGCTCATGTATATCACCA